TTTATGGTTTCAGGTCTTACCTTCAAGTCTTTGATCCATATTGAGTTAATTTTTGTGTATGGCGAAAGATATTGGTCTACTTTCATTGTTTTGCATGGGGCTGTCCAATTTCCCAACACCATAAATGATGATTTTTACAATTCTAGTATTCCTCCTGCATATTTATTAGCTTTTTTCCCTCTATAAAGAACTTTCTTTCATCAGCATTTGTTTAGAAGTTCGTTATTTTTATTTCAAAGTTTTGAAAGAAAAAAGTCCTATATTTGTCCCTCACAGAGGTTTTGAAAATAGCATTCATGTACCTGTTCTCTTGTTTACATAGTTTAAATTAAAAGTAATTGTTCATTTGAAGTCGAGCTTTTTAGTGTGTGCCTGTCCTGTGTGTGTAGTTTGAAGATGAGATTGAGAAGAGAGGACGTGAGAGGCTGCTGCTTTGTGTTTCTTTAGAAGGATTTTTTTTCCCCCTTTTCTATAAGACTAAAAATAAAATTTTTAAATTATAATTCTAATTGTTAAACATGTAGGCTAGTTTCTAGAGGAGTAAACAGCCTGAATATGATTTGTATTTTAGATATAATCTTATATTTAAAGAGTATTAGTGTCATTTGAATTTCTGATAAGCATAGAGATTGCTAGTTGTAATAACTAAACCAACTTGGAACTGAAATTATGTTCCTTGTAAAGCTGGCAGGTCATATTAATAGAAAATCTCAAGGGGAGTAATATAGACAAGTAAGTATAATATTTATTTCTTCCCTTGTGGGCTTTTTTCTTAAGGGAAATCAATGGGAATGATATCTTGAGTTATACAACCTTTCTTCTAAGGTGATCTCATTTCCAGTCAGTTTTACATCAAATATAATATGTGTATTATATTTGACCTCCAAAATACAATTTTTCTTCTTCATAATTATTATTGATGGCCCACTTCCTTCCAAAAGAGAATTGTAATGGCCAAAGGGTAATTTTTTTTAGCTTCATTGAAATATAATTGAGAAATAAAATTGTGTAAATTTAAGATATACAATGTGATGATTTGATACACTTACATACTGTGAAATGATTACCACAATAAGGTTAGTTAACACATTCATCACCTTACATAATTACCATTTCTTTTTTGTGATGAGAACATTTAAGATCTACCCTCTTGGCAACTTGCAAATATATAGTATAGTATTGTTAACTAGAGTCACCATGCTGTACGTTAGATCCCCATAACTTACTTATCTTCTAATGGAAGTTTGTACCAAAGGATAATCTTTTATGTCTAACAATAGAGGATCCATTTGAATGAATTTTGGTTTTGAATAGCAGTAATCAGTCTTTAAACGTTATACCATAGAGAGAAGCCTTTCATGATTTAAAGACATAAGAAAAATGTTTTGTGTGTGTGTCATATACAATACATTGCAATAAACTGGAAGACTATATAATAAAATGTTAACTGTATTAACTATGGTTATTATCTTTGGGTCGTGAAATTATGAGCATTGTTAATTTCCATGCATGTGCACATACGTGTGTATGTGCATGCCTGCTTTCCTCTATTTTCTGATTCTTCTCTATTTGTATACCGAGGAAACAATTTTTTATATCAAAACAATTGTCCTTTACTCAGATATAGAATACAAGGAAGACCTGATTTAAGAATATTTTTGTGTTTAAAAGAATTGAATATCCATTATAAGCCCACAGCGAGTTTTAGTGTCCAGCATAGATTTGCAGTCTTAGGCTGCCTTAATGGATGTACATGCACAGATCAAAGAAGGAAGAGGTCTGCTGGAATCTGCAGGTCCTGCCTTCCTCCTCCTTCCCTTTCTCTCATCTCCACAAGCTGTGGTTTTTATCCTGTAAAGAGTCCACCAGTAAAGTTCACACTTTCTCATTCCTTCTCTGTTGGTTCCTTTTCCTCTTCTCCTTTGCTGACTTGTCTACCAGGTGAGGTTCTTGCATCTTTTCTCTACCAGCCTTCTTTTTAAAAAGTACGTTTTGCTTAAAGGAAGCTACTTTGTCTTGGGGGGCTAGGAAAGGAAGGACTGTAAGAATGGGACCTTAAAATGTTGGTGTAAGAGTCCAAATAGTATGATCTGATAGGTGGTGACCCTACAGAAGCAGCTAGTTAAATAATTCTGTATAGTTGATGGTATTTTAATCAAATAATTGGAATTCATAAATAAAGAATTTTAATGGTACCTGAAAAAGATACCTTAAATGGCTTGCTTTGACGTGCATTAGGCAGATTCTAAGCTAACATTCACCTGTGAATTATCTAAAAATAACTGTGAGCCTCAGATTTCCATTGAGGGTAACTAGGACTAACAGTGGGATGCAGTGGTTTAGCTAACCCATGTCTACCACCTGCTAAGCACAGAGTGTGTATGGAGAATTGTGTGCCAGCCACTCAAGCCTGTGCAGACCAGGCTAATGGGCACAGTCTGACACTGTACAGAAGTGCCTGAGTACGTGGAAAGCAGAGCAACTCATGGAGCATTTCAGGAGGGTCTCTGAGTGAGACGGAAGGAGAGTGTTGACAGACAGCAACCAGTGAGACTGCGCGTCTCCACTGGCTTCCTCCTTTGTGGACCCTGGCTCTAGGCAGATGCTTGAGTTTGGCAAAATCCTTGATAGAGAAATAATTTTCAGTTAGTGAAGCTCTTAGAGATTTGATTTGTGACATAAGAGTATTGTTGATGCAAGCAGAGGCAGGGAAAAATATACAGCATCACAGTAGCACATCATTTAAAAATGAGGTGAATAATCGTTACACTGTGTTCAAATCATTGGCAGTTCCTAAAATTCAAGCAGTCCTTTACCCAGAGTTAAACACAGTGTTTAAACAGTTATCTCCTCAGGACTCAGCAGGGGCCCCTGTGAGGGAAAAAGATATTAACAGTGGTCCAGGCAGTCGTTCTGATAGCCATCTCTGCATATTCAGATGTGGTTTGCCTAGAAACAAAGACTGCCAGCCTTTGTGGGGTGAATCTTCAGCTTATAGTTATATACATAGCCCATTACTACAAAATAACAATAGCCACTGCTACAACCTATGTGGCAGTTAAGGCAGGCTTTGTAAGGACACACCCACCCAGTTCACCCTCATCCCTGCTGCTAGCCAGGGAGCTGGCAATGTGCCAAACTTATTCTAAGGTGGCTGTGGCCCATTCGCCATTTGTATTATGTACTGGTAAAGGAACTCTATAGCAGGGTGAAAACAGAGAGAGATTGTACTTTTTTATGTTCTTCAATTTTGTATTTTCTACCAAATTCTGCCTTCCTTTCTTTCTTTTTTTTTTTTATTTTATTTATTTTTTTTTTTTGTGAGGAAGATCAGCCCTGAGCTAACATCCATGCTAATCCTCCTCTTTTTGCTGAGGAAGACTGGCTCTGAGCTAACATCTATTGCCAATCCTCCTCTTTTTTTTTTCCCCCAAAGCCCCAGTAGATAGTTGTATGTCATAGTTGCACATCCTTCTAGTTGCTGCATGTGGGACGCGGCCTCAGCATGGCGGGAGAAGCGGTGCGTCGGTGCGCGTCCGGGATCCGAACCCGGCCGCCAGTAGCGGAGCGCGCGCACTTAACCGCTAAACCAGGGGCCGGCCCTGCCTTTATTTCTTTAGTTCTCTGCTCCCTGCTAAATAATAATCAGTGCAGATAGCCCACGTATCGGTTGTTATGTTTGGTTTGGATCTTCACATATTAGGTAGGAAATTATTCACAAGAACACATACAGAGGAAATGAAGGGTCTGGAAAACAGGTAACAAGAAGCGATTCAAGAGAAGATAGCGTGTGATAGGGCTTCACATACTATGAGAGATATTAGTGGCTCACAACCTGGTTTTTATTAGCATTACCTGGGGAACTTTTGAAAAATATGGATGCCTGGGCCCTACTCCAAGAATTTCGGTTTTAGTTGATCTGAGACAGGGACCAGCGTGTATGTGTGTGTGTTTTTTCCCTTCCAAAATCTTCCCAGATCATTCTGTATATAGCCAAGAATGAAAACTGTGGATTATATACTTTCTGTTTAGCTTTAGAAAGCAGAACTAGTAGATTAGGGGAAAGGTACAAGATAGAAAGTTCCAGGTCATTATAATGAAGAATGTTCTGGTAATTAGAACTTTCTCCTGCTAGAAATATTCAAGTCTACATGAGTTAACCACTTGTGAAGGATGCTGTGAAGATGACTGCTTTGGATAACATGTAGGATTTAGTGGTTCCTTAATTTTATTAAAAGAAAAAAACAAAGATGGCTGCTATGCTTCTGCAGATTTGGTGTGGAGTGTGCTAAGATCAGTTTGGGGCATATAGAGTTTGAGGTCTCTATGGGACATCTCAGTGGAGATGTTAGTTGACTGTCTGGCTCGGGAGCTCAAAGGAGAGACCTGCCTGGGAGAAGATCACTGAAAAGGTGATAGTGGAAATCCACATCTCCGTACTGTTTTTCATTCATTTGACCCATTTCTTATAAACTTACCATGTATTAATAGTGATGCACAAGACCTGGTCCCTGTGCTCATGGAACTTATAGACAGGGAAACTTAAAACTGAAGAATCTTTACAAAATTACCTGGCAACTTCTTAAATTGTCATCAGTGTCAGCTAGATTGCTGCAGTAGAGCCCAGGGTTGCAACTGGATTGTAAATTCCTCAGGAAAGTCTTCTATAATACATCTAAAATGAATGACAACATATGTAGACATGGGGGTTAATGAAAGAAAGAGATATTCTGGTATTGATTTCTCAGCCCAGAAAATAAAACCTTGGAGAAAGGTTTCCAAGATTTCTTTTATTTATATTTTGCTTTTTTCACTTTTGCTGTCTTTCCCTTCACCTCTTAAATTTTCCTGCTTTTGTAACATCATTACGTATTATCAGTTCTTGAATAGAGATATTTCTTGATAAATGGTTATTCCTTCGTATCTGATTTTTAAATTTGGTCTTGTATTCTCAAGGACTGATGGAAAATATGATATTAATGTAACTTTAACAACCACAGATACCGAGAGGCGATTCAGAAATGGGATGAAGCACTACAATTAACTCCAAATGACGCTACCCTGTATGAGATGAAATCACAGGTAATAATTATGAAGAATTTCACTTTCGTTATGAAATCACGCTATGTTTATTTGATGAGCAATGGTGAACCAAAATAGCATTCTCTTTTTCAAATACAGTTTGGGGAAAAAATATGTCACCATGTTATTTATGGCTCTTCTTTATGCATCAAATTAAAAATTTATTTACCTTTATAATGAAGTTAACTGTTATTTCAACCTAACTATGGGAAGTTATGAGCAGATGGATATCTTTTAAAAAGTCACTGGTGATCTCTTAAATAAATGAAGTGTTTACTTTCCCTCAAAATTATTTGTGGTGGACTTAGCAATAACTTAATTTCTTTAGAATGAGGATAAGTTGGATTCTGGATGATGATATTTCCCAAAAAATGGCCTAGTCCTTAGCAAAAGGTCAGAATAGACTCAATTTATTAATAGTTTAAAAATAACATTTGTACTTAAAAATACATTTCTAATATTTTGTGGGAAAGTTCACAAAGAAAACCTCTGAGCACTTGGATTAGGTTATCCCAGAGACTTAACTCAAACAGAGCATTAAACGTATTTTTGGCAGAGAATAGTTACAGTTCAGCTTTGATCTACGTACCTGACAGATATCTTTCAGATGATGATCTCAAGCATAAGGCACATCCTTTATCAGCTTTGATTTTAGCTTAACTGGGGAAAACCTAAATAAAGTGTGTCCACTGAATGAAGCACTATGAGGACCTTCATTTGGATGCCTTTAATTTTCAGTCTTGAATATGTATATATTAAAGGCAGGATTTGTGGCTAAGTCTATGAAATGAGTTTTTTAATTTGGAACGTGATCATGATGATTGTGTCACAAATCTTGTGAAATGCAGATGGTACACAGATTATAGACAAAATCCAGCCCTTTCCCATAGATTGAAGTGCTGGAACGTCCCAGTTTTTCTGGTGTGTGTGGTTTGAAGAACCCAGCTGTGGAGAGGCCTGTGGAGTGCTGAAATGATTTTTGTAGCAGGAAGATGTTCACTAGAGACAGAATGGGTGGTTGAACAAATTTAAATTTACCTAGTTTAACAGCAAGACCTGGGATTCCCTTAAAACCACATTATAAATAGAAGTGGAATTGAGAGTTCAAATAGCTCTGAACCATCATGGCTAGAATATGACCACTTGGTTTTGACCAGATGGACAGTAGTAGGCTTCAATAATTGGAAAGGGAATAGTTTATATTTTCATAGTTATTTCAAGAGTAGGAAGAGGAATATAATTCCTGACCCTGAAAGGCAGAGGAGAGGGGTCAAAACCACTGAAATGCTATGTTTACCAGACTAAAAATCTATTTTTAAAAATGAAAAGGGTTGTTTATGTATGGTTATCCATTAGTAGTTTGAGTGTATGAATATTACTGACAGGTTTTGTTTCTTCTTTTTGGCTCTAGGTCCTGATGTCTCTTCATGAGATGTTCCCAGCAGTTCATGCCGCAGAAATGGCGGTCCAGAGAAATCCACATTCATGGGAGTCTTGGCAAACTTTGGGACGAGCTCAGCTTGGATTAGGAGAGATAGTCTTGGTAAGGAAGTCAAATTATCATAATACTGAAATTTTATTTTGGCATGCTTTTGATCAACTGAACCGAAAAGTAAAGCGTCATTTATCAAATCCACGCAAAAATAAATAACAAATTACCTCTTAAAGGTATTAACCCATAAACACAGATCAAAGTTATTACTGAACATGTTTTTCCATTATAAACACCAATTGTATCAGGGTCTGAATATTTTTCAGGTATTTGGCATCATGAAAGTTAAAAAAAAATTTAACATAAAACATTGGCATTTGGTAAACCTTATTTAAATATAAAATAAGCAACTTCTAGGTTAGTTCTTTGTATCATTAAATTTACCACATTATAAAGTGATAACAGTATCACCGTGGAGACAAAACCACTAAAAGATTATGTTGGGGAAGGAAGAAAGTGGACTGTGGGAGAGTAATGGTGATAAATCTTTAGACTGACAGGTTGCTGGCTTAGTGAGGAGAAAATGGGAAAGGGTGGAAGCTTATGAAAATGAAATATTCATTGTGTAAAACTGGTGATTAATGCATTTCTCAACTTGCCTGGACTATACCTTGTAGGTAGCAGAGGCTAAGTAGGTAAGAGGTGGCTGTGGGGACTGTCCTGTTTTTGTTTTTGTTTTGGCTGGACTATGTATACCTGACGGCTAATTTCCTAAAACATGTTTGCAGTCTCATACAGTAGTGCCAAATTTCCTCTGTGTCATTAAGTAAATTAAGATTTTTCATGCTTTTATTGGCCTTTTACGGTTAAAAAGAAAGCAAACCAAAAAAAATCAAAAACTTTCTTTAAAGGCTAAAATTATGCATAAGCTCTGAACTTAACATTACTAAAAATGGCTTTAGTAAGTTGTGGATAACTTAGATGTTTCTGGTACTCTTGTAAATATTTCATTTTTCTATTTACAAAGAAAAGATGTTTGTCAAATTCTCAGAAATAAGAAGTAAGGAATTTTGATGAGAAAAGAATTGATGGGAGTAAAGTAACTTAAAAATGACCATCTGGGATGAGGTTCACAGTGATGGAAACTAGTTTAACCGAAGGCCATTTTCTTTCCTTGCCATTTAACATAGTCATCTTTTCTCTTTTTTACTTAAAGACTTAAATCATACCAGAGTTGGAAAAAAGAAATTCAAGGAATTTAGTTTTCTAATAGGTTAACAGGAAAACAAACAAAAACCTATCATATAATACTTTTTTCCCATTTCTCCTTTGTTAAAAACTTATAAGTCATTACCTCTTTTGCTTATAAGTGCCTATGGTAATGCAAAAAATCTCTAGGGCATAATGTTTAGCAAAGATTGTCCTATAAAGAAAGAAAATATACTACAGATGAGACAACAGAGATACTTTGGATCAACCAATAAAAGTAAAATTATTCAATATTTTAAGTTTTTTTTAATGAATACCAGTTGTTCAACTGATATTTTTTTTCTATTGATATGGTTCTGTCTGTTAATATTGTTAAATTCTTGGAGGAATAAAACTGTTATTTTTCCCCATTTAATGTAATTTTTAGGGCTCTACTTGAAAAAATCTACATTTGTAATTTTTATGTAAACTTAAGCTGTTCTTTTGAAAGACTGGAATGGTTTAAAAAGTGACTTTACTGAAAATGTCATAATGAAAGGATACTATGAAAAATATATTGAAAGCAAGCAAAAATTTCTAACATCTAATGATTCTTACTATATATACATATGGACAAAAACATAAGAAAATACACAGATAAATAGAGCAGACAGTAAATGAAGTCAATAGTTGGGTATATCTCTATGAGTATTTAGATTTTATGAGTGATTATTTAGAGTTAGGTGTTTATGTTGGAAAATGATTATAGCCTTAGTTTGTTCTTTTAATTCTTTGAGGTGAAAAGTTAGGGGTTTTTTTTGTTTGTTTGTTTGTTTTGTGAGGAAGATTAGTCCTGAACTAACATCCATGCCAATCCTCTTTTTGCTGAGGAAGACCAGCCCTGAGCTAACATCTGTTGCCAGTCCTCCTCCTTTTTTTCCCCCTTTTTCTCCCCAAAGCTCCAGTAGATATTTGTATGTCATAGTTGCACGTCCTTCTAGTTGCTGTCTGTGGGACGCGGCCTCAGCATGGCTGGACAAGCTATGCGCTGGTGCGCACCTGGGATCTGAACCCAGGCCACCAGCAGCAGAGCGCGTGCACTTAACTGCTAAGCCACGGGGCCGGCCCCCAAAAGTTAGGTTTTTTACGTGAGATCTTTCTTTTTTAACGTAGGCATTCATCACTATAAACTTCCCTCTTAGTTCTGCTTTTGCTGCATTCCATAGTTTCAGTATGTTATATTTTCATTTTCATTTGTTTCAAGATATTTTCTAATTTCTCTTTTGATTTCTTCTTTGACTCATTGGTTGTTCAAGAGTGTGTTGTTTAATTTCCACATATTTGTGAATTTTCCAGTTTTCCTTCTTCTGTTGACTTCTAATTTTATTCCATTAGTCTGAAAAGATACTTAGTATGTCTTCTTAAATTTGTTAAGACTTGTTTTGTGACCTAACATGTGATCTATTCACCTAACCAGTGATCTGTCCTGGAAAATGTTCCGTATGTGCTTGAGATGAATGTGTATTCTTCTCTGTTGGGTGAAATGTTCTGTATATGTCTGTTAGGTCCCTTTGGTCTGTAGTGTTGTTCAAGTCTTCTGTTTCATATTGACCTGTCTGGATGTTCTGTCCATTATTGATAGTGGGGTATTGAAGTCTCCTAGTATTACTTTATTGCTATTACTCCCTTCAGTACTGTCGGTGTTAACTTAGGTGTTCTGATGTTGGGTGCATATATATTTATAATTGTTATATCTTTCTGGTGAATTGACTGTTTTATCATTATAAATGTCTTTCTTTGACTCCTGTGACACTCAATACACGTTAGCATTATTATGATATAAGTTCTTGGCTTCAAAGGTATGCATTCTTGGTACCTTTCTGATCATGGTTTAGCCCAGGAAATCCCCAGATTCGTATATTTACTGATCTGCAGAAGCTGAACAATGCATTTGCCTTGTTTTGAACTATATCAGTTCTTCTACTTTAACGGACTTTTAGTACTCATCAGCAAATGGTTAGTCAACTTTCTTTCACACTTCCATAACTTTATTTTCCATTTGTTAGGGCATAGCCCTAACTTCCATCCTTACATTCTAATACATTTAAAAAAAAACGATGTAGGGGCTGGCCCGGTGGCGCAAGCGGTTAAGTGTGCATGCTCTGCTGTGGCGGCCTGGGTTCGCTGGTTCGGATCCCGGGCGTGCACCGACGCACCGCTTGGTAAGCCATGCTGTGGCGGCGTCCCATATAAAGTGGAGGAAGATGGGCACAGATGTTAGCCCAGGGCCAGTCTTCCTCAGCAAAAAAAAAGAGGAGGATTGGCAGATGTTAGCACAGGGCTGATCTTCCTCACAAAAAACAAAAGATTTATATAAGTGGATATTGTGGATTATATTCAATACATTCTTTTTTTTTTTTTTTTTTTTTTTGGGGAAGATTAGCCCAGAGCTAACATCTGTTGCCAGTCCTCCTTTTGCTGAGGAAGATTGGCCCTGGGCTAACATCCGTGCCCATCTTCCTCTACTTTATATGGGATGCCGCCACAGCCTGGCTTGACAAGTCGTGCGTCAGTGTGTGCCCGGGATCCGAACCTGTGAACGCCGGGCCGCCGAAGCAGAGCACGGGAACTTAACTGCTACGCCCGCCAGCCGGCCCCGATACACTCATTTTTTAAAACAAGGCAAAGGAAAAACTCTGACCTTTTTTTTTCCCTTAGGCAATTCGAAGTTTTCAAGTAGCTCTTCACATCTACCCAATGAACCCTGAAATATGGAAAGAAGACCTTTCTTGGGCAAGAACGCTTCAGGAGCAGCAGAAGGTAGCACAGAGGATTAAACAAAGTGAAGCACCAGCGGAAGTGACCCATTTCTCACCAAAGTCAATTCCTGACTATGACTTTGAAAGTGATGAGATTGTTGCTGTTTGTGCGGCTATTGCTGAAAAACAGAAGACGGTTTCAGCAAATAAAACAATGGTTATCGTGTCTGCTTCTGGGACTGTGGAGACTGTAACTGAGAAGGAAGATGGTGCCACCCCCCCAGATGGTTCTGTTTTTATCAAAGCCCGATGAAGAATAGCAAGAATTATTGGAATCTCTTTTTGATTGCCATTTTAAGTTGTAGGCATAGGGACATTTACTGGAGAAAAAGGGGAAAACTCCTGTTTGTGAAATGTTTTTCAGATGAGGCATATAAAAACTAAATGGTAGAATTATTGTATAGTGTTTGGACTATGCTTTGATAAGTTATGATTTAACCTTAAGATTAGAATTCTGAGTACAATGGTTTTTGATTAATAAACTTAATTTAATCCAGATATATAAGGAGTACATTTTAAAGACACAACTTGAAAGTGAATTCTTGAACAGTGAATAACCTGATGGCCAGTGTTATATTAAAATGTTGACTTGTTGACTTTTGTTTTATGATAAAGCAAGTAGGTGACTTCTTTCCCTCCTAGAAATATACTGCTGTTACTATTCTCTCTTCTGTTTTTCTTGTTTCATTAGAGTAAGTCTGTCACAAAGCTTGAATATTTTTGATGTTCATTTTGATTCAAACTTGTCATTGGGTTACAAGTGAGATCTTTGAAAGTTCAGCTGAAAATGCATGCAAATGTGTACATTCTGAACATTTTCTGAAATTTCTCTTAATTCTGATTTGTGCCTATGTTTTGACTATAAAATTATTATAACAATGATAGTTGCCTCCTTCAGTATTTGTTAGATGAGTGTAGTACTGATAAATGTTAGAATGATGGTTTTATTTTTTTAATTGTTGAAGTAGATAGAGTAGTCCTTACCCCAAGCAAGTAATTTTTAAGATGTGCGTTTTTTAAATGAATGGCTCTTATAGATGTCATAATAAATTGTACTGCTATGTTGTCCCAGTCAAAAGCAGTATTTTCTTCTCCTGGTTTTTAAAAGCTTAAAAACCTTGAAAATAACTTGTCTCTTGCTTATAACTTTCCAGCTGATGGTTTGGAATTCCTTTTCTAGATAACTTTTTTAGAACTACTCAGTGAAATGAGAAATAATCACAATTTTAAATGGCTAAATTATATCACTCTAAAAATAAAAGTAGGGATGTTATTAGAGTACCAATGAGTGAATGACTTAGGCACAATGTACATGGAAACTGAAATGTGATTTATGGTACAATCCCATGAGTAGAGAAGGATATGATATATTGAAGAAAATTGAAAGGCCTCAATTACATCCACAAATCAGTACTGTCATTGCTAATGTGAAATATTATTTTTATACTACATATATTGTAGAACAGGTATATATAACTGCTTGGCACTGATATTTCTGACACTCAGGAAGCTATTATGGGCGTAAAATTAATTTTATCCTTGTTAGAGATGAAAGTAAGTTACTTTATTTTAAGGAATCTTACTTTATTCTGTTGGAGCATGTAAGTAATGGTCTACATTTTTCTGAGATGATTTTTAAAACTTTTATTTTAGTGGAATGCTTATCTCTTTTTTTCAGAGTTGGAGAAGTCAGAACTTGCCTTGAAAAGTATTATATTTTCCCCCAAAGTTATATCAGAAAGCTAGCTCTCGTTAGAGAGGTTAGTTTTAGAATGATCCAAAACAACAAATATTAATTATATTTTATTTTCTTTAATAAGGAAGATCCTCAAAGAGTAGATGGTTGAGTATCTAGAGAAGTGAGCATTTACCACTTGGTGTGTTGTTTTGAGTAATGTGTGTTTATTGTGTAATTTGTGAATAAATTTTTTTTCTGAATTTTAAATATTTGCCTATTATTTTGTGTTGTTAGCTTTTGAAAAATTAGATTGATTTATTTAATTTCTTTCTTATGTGAAAATAAAATATATAAAGCACCTTGTATGGTGTCTCGTATATGAAGTACTCAGTAAATGCTAGCTTTTTCTATGAAGAACTTGAATTACTTTGGAAATATTTAACCTCAGTTTCTTTTGATTTTAAGAAAGGAAGACAACTGCTTTGTAATCTTTTCCGTATCTGAAGGTGAGAGGTCACTACTTCTGATGTTACAGGACAGATGGCTATCAGTTGGGGGTTATTCTTGTCATAAAGTCTATGCCTCAACCCCAAAAGAGGCTGGACCCAGGGCAGAGTGCATGTAGCCATTGGATTCTGTTCAAGAACCTAGTGATTCCTCTGTGTTGACATTGGTAGGCCAGGTTAGTCTCTTCCTTACTCAGATATAAGAAATAAAATGTTTTAGACATAAGTTGGAGGAGAAAAAGAAATAGTGAATTATGGAGAAGAATGGCAGCTCATTTCTCCAGGCCCCCCAAAATGCTTAGCTAACACTCTTGTATGCATAAAGAGGAAAATGCATGCATTATTTTATAAAGATGTGAACTCTGATATACAGACATTTACTAAGGTTGTTAACTGTAATAAATCCCTTTGAATCTGAAAGAAGAATTGATGTTCATGGTAGTGATTTAGTTAAAGATGTTTAATATACTGTCTGAAAACACTAACACTAAAATTATATTGAATATAATTTGTATTATTCTTGTTTAAAAATTGTATGTCTTAGACACTCATTAGTCAGAACACTACACATCCAGACCATGCCTGATAATTTGAGAATCACATATTATTTTCTAGACAACAGGTTCTTAGATTATAGAGTATTTACCTTAAGTATGCTAATAAATGCTACGTAAACATGGAAAAGACGTGCAAAGTATAGATCACGGAACCTAGATCTACAATTGGGGCCTATGTACAAAATTTAATGGTAGTAGTCTAAGTATGAAAAGCTTTGAAACTGATGTTATATGGCAAAACTATATTGAAGACAGTAAAAAACTTTGTCTTAGAAAGCTAGAGTTTCCATGATTATAACCGACCATTATAGCTTTTTCAGTTTGAAAATTATGCTTTATGTAGTGTCAGAAGCTTGTTTCACTGCCTTTCCCAGCAGTAGGAAAATTGTCAATAATTTCTTTAATTTCGGGCTTCGTGGTTCAGAAGCCCTTCTAAATTGACTCTGGAATTTGATTTCAGGACATACATGTATCTAAATGAGTTGTGAGTTCACACAAGAACCATAGTTCCATAATTATCTTCAAATCAATGGATATATTAAATGTTTTTTTCCTGAGAGATTATTATTAAACTGATGGTGTATTTTGTGATTGATGGCATTTTAGGATTGAGAAAGTAATTTTTTTTAACCAATAGTAAAATACAGAAATTTGTAAATGATTTACTCATTACTAAAGTAAATTAAAACGAAATATGTCACTTTAGTCACTTGCAATTAAATGTGCCCACTTGAATGGAGGAGAAGGGGTGGCCGTATAGGTAGTGTACCATGAATTGTGCCTTAATGTGTGTTGTGTGTGAACTTCACCAGTTGTGTGTGCCAAGAAGGAAGGAAGATTGAGAAATGCTGGTCTACTCTTTCTTGGGAAGGCAGAGGGTGGGGATGGCTTCCTTTCACAGTGCTTCTTTGGATATCCATTAACCAAGGGATCTTGATCTCTCCCTTCCCTCCTCCCTCCCACCTCCCCAGGAAAGGGAATTTAGGATAAAGAACAATCAAGCCTCTTTCTCCCCTTTTTTTTGGATTTGTCATGCCTGCAAAAAGCCTATATTGTGGTCTCTTGTCAGATGTGTTGTAAGTTCTGCAGTGAAGGCTCTCTGCCTCTGCAGGGGGAGACCTGTGGTTGTGTAGGACTGCCCGTGCCTTGGTGAGCAGGTCTGTCTAATTCTGGGTTTGATATTAGGTGGCCATTGTTGACACAAACCTAAATTGTATCCTCTAACCTAGACTTTTTCAGCAATAAATCTGACATATTGAATCTCCATCTGCTTGACTCTTTTTCTCTCTCAAGTGGCACAGAAGTCAGGGGGGGCAAGAGATATTATTTTATGACTCCCTCAAACCACAACAAAGATTAGTGCAGATTATATTTCAAAGTAAGCATGACACAAATTAAAAACTAAGTTGGAGAAATTTTTCTAATTTTACGTTTTTTTAAATCACGGAAATTCTATTGAAAATGGGTAATGTTAATTACAAGTCAACATGTAAACATTTGTTCAGGATCTTTAAAAGGCCTTCTGACTTGGAATTATGATGGACCACAGTATTGACTCTAGATTTAATTGGAAGGAAAGAATGTGAAATGAATCATGATAGCCTCTGTGCACTCTGTCAACTTTCTTAAGAGTGTAATTTACGTATAATAAAATGCACCCATTGTAAATTTACAGTTTGAGGAATTTTGACAAATGTGAACCCCCACGCAATCGCAATTACCATCAAGATGTAGAATATTTCCATCACCCAAAATGTTCTCCAATGCTCATTTGCAGCCGGTTCCCCTCCACCCCAACAACCGGCACTATTTAACTACTGATCTGCTTTCTGTGAGTATAAATTAGATTTGACTTTTCTAGAATTTCAAATAAATAGATCATACAATATGTACTCTGTGTCTGACATTTGTGTTCGGCATAATACTTTTGAAATCCATCCATGGAGAGATTCATACATGTTATTGTGTACATCAGTAATATGTTACTTTGTATTGCTGAATATTATTCTGTTGTATGGATATACCACAATTTGTAGCTATTTGTATTGTTGATGGACATCTATGATGTTGAACGTCTGAGTTTTGATCTATTATGAATAAAGCTGCTATGTATATATGTCACAAGTCTGTGTGTGGATACATGTTTTCGTTTCTCTTGGGTAAATACCTGAGGGTGGAATTGCTGTTCTTATGGTAAGTATATGTGCAACTTTAGAGGAGACTGGGAAACTTCTGCGAAGTATTTGTATCACGTTGCATTCCTAACCAGCAATGTATTAAAAAATTTTGGTTGGGAGATATCTTTGTCAATGGTTGGTATTGTCATTGTTTTTAATTTCAGCCACATTAGTGGATGTGTAGTGCTATCTCATTGTGGTTTTAATATGCATTTCCCTGATGATGTTGAGCATCTTTTCATATGCTTATTTGGTATTTGTATATCTTTTGGGAATGCTCTTCAAATATGTTGCCCATTTTTTATTTGGGTCATCTTTGTTATTGACTAGTAAGAATTTTTTCTATATTCTGGATAAAAATCCTTTATGATATATATATATTATGAATATTTTGCCCCCATCTGTGCCTTGCCTTTTTGTTTTCTTGTTTTTTTAATTTTTATTTATTTTTTAAATTTTATTGAGGTCATATTGGCTTTTGACATTGTGTAAATTTCAGGTGTACAATATTATATTTCAGTTTCTGTATAGATTTCATCCTGTTCATCACCAATAGGCTAGTTTTTATCTGTCACCATATACATGTGCCCCTTTACCCCTTTTGCCCTCCCCCCACCCCCTTTTCCTCTGGTAACCACTACTCTGTTCTCTTTATCCATGTGTTTGTTTATCTTCCACATATGAGTAAAATCCTACGGTATTTGTCTTTCTCTGTCTGACTTATTTCACTTAGCATAATACCCTCAAGGTCCATCCATGTTGTCGCAAATGGCACGATTTGTCTTTTTTTATGGCTGAGTGGTATTCCATTGTATATATATACCATATCTTTATCCATTCATCCATTGATGGGCGCTTGGGTTTCTTCCATGTCTTGGCTATTGTGAATAATGCTGTGATGAACATAGGGGTGCAGACATCTTTTTGAATTATTGATTTCATGTTCTTTGGATAAATACCCAATAGTAGAATAGCTGGATCATAGGGTATTTCTATTTTTAGTTTTTTGAAAAATCTCCATACTGTTTTCCATAGTGGCTGCATTCCCATCAACAGTGTATGAGGATTCCTTTTTCTCCACATCCTCTCCAACACTTGTTATTTCTTGTCTTGTTAATTATAGCCATTCTGACGAGTGTAAGGTGATATCTCATTGTAGTTTTGATTTACATTTCCCTAATAATTAGTGACGTTGAACATCTTTTCATGTGCCTGTTGGCCATCTGAATATCTTCTTTGGAAAAATGTCTGTTCATATCCTCTGCCCATTTTTTGATCCAGTTGTTCATTTTTTTTGTTGTCAAGTTGTATGAGTTCTTTACATATTTTCAAAATTAACCGCTTGTCAGATATATGATTTGCAAGTATTTTTTCTCAGTTGGTGGGTCGTCTTTTCATTTTATTGATAGTTTCCTTGCCTTTTTGTTTTCCTAATGATACCTTTTGAAGAGCAGAATTTTTTAATTTTGATGATTTCCAATTTATATCTTTTATTCTTTCGTGGTTATACTTTTTGTGTGCTGATAAATTGGTGCTTGTTCCAAGATCAGAAAGATTTTTCTGTGTTTTCTGCTAAAAGTTTTATAGTTTTGGTTTTTATAATTAGGTCTATGATCCATTTCAAGTTAATTTTTATGTATGATATGAGGTAAAGGTCGAGTTTCTTTTTTTTTTTATGAGGAAAATTGGCCATGAGCTAACATTTGTTGCCAATCCTCTTTTTGCTGAGGAAGATTGGCCCTGAGCTAACATCTGTGCCCATCTTCCTCTACTTTATTTGAAATGCCACCATGACATGGCTTGATGAGTGGTACGTTGGTCCACGCCCGGGAGCCGAACCTGCAAACACTGGGCCGTGGAAGCAGAGCATGCAAACTTAACCACTATGCCTCCAGGCTGGCCCCCATGTTTCATTTTTTTGATGTCCAGTTATTTAAACACTATTCGTTGAAAAAACTGTCCTTTCCCATTGAAATACCTTGGCATCTTTGTTGAAAATCAATTCACCATGTATTTGAGGGTCTGTCTGAGC